AGATAGACTCCCAGGTTGCAATTGCATGTGATCTGCATCATCTTTTCCATAAATAAGCGCACCATCGGCGAAGCATTTGACACTTGAAATACCCAGCAACTCTTGGTGTGAAATGTTTCTAAAATATCTCACATGACACACGAGCCAAACGGCAAACGAGGCCTGTGATATCTCCCATGAGGAGTGCTTAAAGTTGTCAATAGACTAGACTCATTGTCCTGTACCAAATGCCGAAAAGCAGATATAAGATCAACTTTAGTAAACACTCGAGTCTCTGCAAAATCGGGCAGCGAATCGTCAATAACGAGATTCTGGTATCTAACCCTCTTCAGGACAGTATTGAACGCCTTAGGATCAGTGCAAACCCGTAACTCACCAGATTTCTTAGCAGCGACAACGAACTGGCTGACCCATCTAGTACCTCGAGATCTTGCAACCTTTGAAGTTTTGCCTTGAATTTCTCTGTGACTGAGACAGGCAGTTTCCTTGCTGGGAGAATTACCATTTGGGAAGCCTTGTAGATGAACCTTGCCAGGCAGCTTGCCAAGGCCGTCATCAAACACATCTACGTATTTCATGATCAGATCATCTTCCAAATTCTTCACAACACTCACAAAGGTCTCCTTATGCACGGTTAGCAAACCCATTTTCTCGGTGGCGTTTCAACCCAGAAGCGGAATTAGATTTTCCTTCACGACCAGCAACCTTACTTTGTACTTGATATTGATTCGGGGACTTACAACTGGCAGAGCATATGTCCCCACAAGCTTGACCTTGGTGCCATTCCACATAACAGGGTGTAGTCTTTAGCGTTACACGGTAGCGTGACACGCCTTTCATCATGTAGCTAAACATGCTGGGAATAACGTAATTTTTACATGTGATTCCAATGTGGTTGGTGTGCTAACTTTGGGTCGTCCTGTGTGATACATACCTTCGTTCAAAACATTACGCAGGGGATTGGGACAAGGGGCAAATCCATATTTCCCACATGCTTGTACGGCAAAATATTAGCACTAGATCCACGGTCAACTTGGAATCTTACAGGCTTCTGCTGGACCAATATTTTAGCAAACACGGCTTTATCTTATCATAGCTTGAATCCTTACAACACTGATCTCTTCAAGGTCTTCATCGCTGTCAATGGCATAAACCATAGCATCGTGGTCAGTGCGCTGGACTCTAGGTCAGATGGCCCGGGTTCAAGTCCTGGCTGGGGCTTGACCTTGTGTCCTTAAGCAAGACGGTTCACTCACATTGCTTCGTCTTCTCGGATAGGACGTAAAGCCGGAGGTCCCGTCTCCTGCACCTATCAATTAGTTAATTTCGGCAAGGGACGTTAAAGAACCCACATCACGAGATTACTGTGATGTGGTCTGGCCTGTTTACTGGGAAGGATCGTTCTCATATACGTCTCATAACCGCAGTTCACACATATGTTTCATATGTTTGTTGTTGTTTGATTTATCATCTACGGGTTTATATCGAATTAATTTGATGGCCTGCTCCCAGTTGGCTTGTTAGCTCAATTGGTAGAGCGCTGCACTAGTATCGCAGAGGTCAGTGGTTCGAATCCCGTACAGGCCTGAAATTTTTTTCAGGTCTGATTTTCACTATTGCTCAAATAGTGCTTTACTGCGAAGGATCGTTCTCATATACGTCTCATAACCGCAGTTCACACATATGTTTCATATGTTTGTTGTTGTTTGATTTATCATCTACGGGTTTATATCGAATTAATTTGATGGCCTGCTCCCAGTTGGCTTGTTAGCTCAATTGGTAGAGCGCTGCACTAGTATCGCAGAGGTCAGTGGTTCGAATCCCGTACAGGCCTGAAATTTTTTTCAGGTCTGATTTTCACTATTGCTCAAATAGTGCTTTACTGCGAAGGATCGTTCTCATATACGTCTCATAACCGCAGTTCACACATATGTTTCATATGTTTGTTGTTATATATATTATTATCATCACCTTTTTCAAAATGATTCCTTTTCTTGCACCTTTTACATACTTTACCTTTGGCAGGGAGCATTTTTCTCTGCGGAGCATGATCGTGGCATTGTACCATTCAGACCACGAAAGAGCATCATGCTGAAAAAAAGATGGATAAAATGAAACCAGACAGTGTGGAAGTCAGTTTTATCCAATAGAACAACCAAGTAGTTATTGTAATGAAACCAAAGCGGAGCGCTTCTGAATTTTCATGGAAGGCTTGTGGTACTTGTCCAATCTGTTTTGATTGGTTGACTGTCATCTCTTTATACTGTTATTCCCAATGACGGAGGTCATCTGGCCCTAAAACATTTGTGTGATAAACGCATAGTTAAAGAACCTAGTTCTGAAACACTACTTCGCCTAACCGAACTAGCGCTTACTCTCAATTGTTTTTCATTCGGAGACAACTGTTTCAAACAAACTAATGCCGCAGCCATGGGTACGAAAATGGGACTCAGCTGTGGCAATCCTTTTTGTAGGTTTAGTCGAACACCAATTTTTCAGTCAATACAACGGCCCCAAATCTGGGCTCCACGGTCGCTACATTGACGACTGTATCGGCGCTACCTCCCTTGCCAGAGTGCCAGAGAGGAGCCAACTCAATTTGTAACCGCAGTCAACTCTCTCTGGTCAGAAGTTCACTTGAAGTTAATGAACAACCCGCAATTTTTAATTGTGCTCTCGCACGATGCAAAATTTTTCCCTTCATTAACAATGTTCAGAAAATGTCGGGACCTGAACGATCCATCAAGATGACTGATCGCTTCACGTGCACCTCCATCAGTGTAATTTATTGCATAACTTGCACTTGTTGCAAAAAGATATACATTGGCGAAACAGGAAGACGACAAGGTGACCGATTCCGAGAGCACCTTAGCGACGGAAGAAAGGAAGGACAAGGATACACCAAAACCAGTCGCTGAACACTTTAATCTACCTAATTATTCTAAGCAACATATAGCGGTCTGCGGCCTTTCCTTACCTTAGGTAGCTCGGAAAGCCGCAAAACTCTTGAAAAAAGGTTTATCTTTCAAATCGGCCCTCTTAATCCCATTGGTATCAACGAACCCTCTTTCCTCTACTAATTTATTCTTCCTTTTCTCCTCACCATGTTGCCATCAATAGTATAGCCCCACTTTCTGCACATAAACACACACCGTGATTCAGAATTCCTCAATTCACTTTGACTAAGGGCTAAGGCTCGAAACGTCAGCTTTTAAACCTTTACGGCGGCCGATTTACATTTTCAGCTTAGTCATCAGCTTAGTAAAAGAAAAACCAAATTACTGCGTCATTAGTGCATATGATAAGCTGGTGATTACTCGACATCTGTATTTGCTCATTGGCAAAGTAACAAGTGAATTTTTAGCTCTTAATCAGGAAAAGGTCTATCCTACGTGTCTGCCACACATGTCCACTCATCGTCAATGGTTATTTTTACGTGGTTGCTCGCCAATAGGAGAAACGGCCCTTTGAGGTAAAAATGAAAACAAAAAAACCAACCGTCAAACAAGAGTTCAACACCGACGAAGAACTATAAGGTGTAAAAGAGTGAGTGGTTGCCAGTAGGAATTGGGTGAAGTCACTTTGGAGATGACAAGTTCATATTAAAGAGGATTTGTTTAAACAACCTGTCAACAATCTACAGTATTTTTATATTTAAAACCAGTCAAGATGCAATTCAACCTAGACTAGAAGATTTAGTTACTTTATATAATTACGGTTAACTTACAAAGGAGTGATCAACTAGGAAGGTTACTTAGTAGAGGCCGAAAAAAATCGTTTTTAATTTTATCCGAGTAAATTTATTTTCAAAAAATCAAATCTCCAAAAGCGTCTGAGTTATTCAGAGAAAAGCATTTTCAAATAATAGTTTATAAATCATGGTGTCATAATCTCGTCCGTGGAGAAATCCCGTAGGGGAATTTACGAGCTAACTGCTCATCTTTGGGCTCGTTTTTCATGTTCTTTATTCGGAAGTGGAAACTCTTAATTTTAGTGTCTACGTCCACTTAATGGTGTCTACGTCCGCTCAATAAAGGTATTCACTGAATAGGAGTTCATTTTTAAGAGAAATGTAAAACCCGGCTTAGTCTTAAAAGAAGGTGTATGCTTGACTGGGGATCCACTTAATAGAGGTTTCACAGTATTAGGACCGTTTTGCACACCAAACATCATGTATAATTACATCGGCTTACCGAGAAAATCTAGGTCGATTAAGCCGTAGGTTCTTTTCGCTGACTGCAGCTTAACTCCTAAAATATACGTCCCAGTATCAGAAGCACTTACATAGTGGATTATCAAAGTGGCTGGCCGTTCGATCGAAAAACGATCCCGTGAGGGAACATTAGGTGAGACTGTGATCACACTGTTAGTTGCATACCCAATGTATTTGTCGGCACCTTCCTTGCTTAAAAAGAAATCAACTTCTTTAAATGGGTCATTACCCGAAATTGAATAGTCCCAGCGTAGGTTTTTTTTATGTTTGAAGCGGACGGTCAGGCTCCCGTGAGGGCGGTGCGATGCCTGCCGACCATAACGTCTACTCCAACCCATGGCTAGAGTGCAAGGCCTTAGGGTTGGGACCGCAACAAACGAGGGACACCAATCGCCAAAATCGCTGGGGAATCGAACCCCACCTCATTGGAAACAAAAATTGAACACACACTCGCAAAAGAACAAACAATAAGAGTAAAAGACAAAAAACTAAAACGACAGAACGATACAAGCCCAGTGCAGTACACCAACGAAGGAGACCCAGCACATGGGTTACGAAACGGAAACTAACAAAGGGCTACTGTGCAGTGCACCAATGAAGGAGACCCAGCATAAGCAGCACACAGACACACTCGCTCAAGCAAAAAAAAAAATCCACACATCACTCAAGCAAGCGAGACCGACAAAGGGCTACTGTGTAGTACACCAATGAAGGAGACCCACCACGAGCAGTACAGAGACACACCCATTCAAACAGAAAAATTCACACACCGCTCCAGCAAGCGAGGCTAGATGGTAAAGACAAGAGTGTAGTTGACCACTGAGGCTACAGTGCCACGGGCACCCCACTGCCGATGGAAGAAGCAACGACGTCGGGTCGACGTGAAGCGCCTGAAGAAGATTTTAAGATGAAACCTCAGGCGGGTCTTCACGCGAGCGATGACGTCCACAGCGCCAGGCCTGGAATAACGGAAGCAAAAGTCATTACGAGATTGCCAGACAAAGAATTTACAGAGATTGAGGAGATAGACGAAAACACAAGGGATGGCCCTCAACTCATTAGAGTTGAGGCCAAAGAGGACGTGACGAAGAAGGAGAACAGGACACATGGAAGAGAAACCAAACAGTAACGACTGTAGCCAAGAAAGAACGCTTTGAGCAAGGGGGCAATAAAAGAAAAGGTGTTCCGGTGTTTCCACCGGGGCACCACAGAAGCAAGGTAAAGGAACAGATAAGCCGAAGGAGGCCAGACGCTGTGCAGTGTACAAGACGTCGTGTGCAATCTTCCAATTAAGGTCAGTGACCTGACGATCAAGATGGAAGAGGGATAGGGAGCGCCACGTGTCAGGCCAGTCCAGATTCCCATAGATAATGTTAAACTTCTCCACGCGATGCGGCGGGACCATGTTCTCAGAAAGTAGGTAACGATAACAGAGACTAGTAGACATGTTTAAGGCAGGAGCACAAACAAGGGGAGTAGACGAACCATATACAAGAGTTTGATACGAGTGGGAAAAGGAGCCATTAAGGCTCCCCCAGGCTAGTAATAGAGAATGGTAGAAAGGTGGAAAGGCCCTGGCGTCAAACGAGAAAGGGCGGGAAAAGATATCTAGAGGATAGACACCAAAACGCGACACAAAAACAGGAAGACAAGGAGACGCACCAGCTAGAGGGCGAGGAGACAAATCTCTTCACCCACTGGCCAAGAAGAGCATAGACTTTAAAACGAACATCGACAACGGAGAAACCACCAAAGACAGGGGACTGGGTCACAGCAGAGCGAGAAACAAGTTCCCGCTTGCCGGACCAGAAGAAGGAGAAAGCCAGAAAGGAGAGCTCCTTGCACATCCAGGCCGGCATATGGATGAGGGAGGCTACATACCAGACCCGGAAAAGCGGAAGGGCATTAAAAACAAGGGCCTTGCCACGAAAGGATAGGGAACGAGAACGCCAAGATTTGAGAACATGGTCCACCGCATCAATCCGGGGACGCCAGTTGACTTCTTCAAGGTTCCCAGGGCCAGTAAAGATGCCAAGAACCTTCAACCTGGAGGAAGACCAATCAAGCATGACAGGGGGATCGGAGCGACCGCTCCAGCCCCCAAGCCAAAGGCCCTTGGACTTGGCCAGGTGAAGCTTGGAGCCAGACGCATTTTCCAATAAGGCAAAAGCCTCAAACGCAGCCTTCATGGAATCGTCGGAGGAGAGCACCAGCGACGTGTCGTCTGCGTATTGGACAATGGGAGAGACTGAACCGACTTCGGGGAAAGAGATGCCCTGAATGCGAGGGTTGGAACGGAGATTCACGGCAAACATCTCGGCAACCAGGACATACAGAAGTGGCGACCGGGGGCAACCCTGCCGGACACCACGAGACAGGCGGAAAAAGGAAGTTAGATGACCGTTTACGTTTACAGCGCTCCTCACCTCACGGTAGAAGAGCTCAACCCAGCTGACAAATGAGGGGCCAAACCCCAGAGCCTCAAGAGTAGCTAACACAAAACCCCAATCGACCCTGTCAAATGCCTTCTCCTGGTCGAAGGAGAGAATGGCAACAGGGGAACCCGAAGATGTTGCGAAGTCGACGACGTCTCGGAGGAAAGCTACATTCTCACCGATGTACCGCCCCGGAACACCACATGTTTGATCTTTGTTTACAATCGAGTGTATGACTTTTAAAAGACGGCCGGCGATACATCGGGAGGCGATCTTGTAGTCCACATTAAGCAAACTGATGGGCCTCCAGTTCCGGGGATCGAGACGGTCTCCCTTTTCATCAGCGCAGATATACCCATCCATCCCATCCCAGGGGAGGACATGCACCACACAGTAATCTCCTGCGCGGGAAATTAACGTCTCCAACCCCTAACCCTGCAGGAGACGGGACCTACGGTTTATTCGTCCTTATCTGAGAAGACTAGAATATCTATCCATTTCTTGATATCATAGAATGGTAGCACATTCTCCCCAGTTATTTATCATTATCCTCGATAATGAACAAAACGGACGCTTTACGTTAATTTAAATCCTTTTGATTTTGGACAAGACAAAGCAATTCAGTAAGAAATAGCTTAACAACCCTTGGTGCACCAAAGAAGATCATGCTGATAAGTAGACTTCTTTTCAGCAAGATAACCATTATAGCAAACCACCAACTTCTGAAACTCCACAAAGTAGCCATCACTTTCTGCACAAATTTGAGATTCTCCTACAGAGAAGGCGACACTTCTGTCATTGTGCTCAGCAATCAGTTGCAATTGCTGTTTACTCCAAGGAGCAACAGACAATTATGAAGGGTCCATTAAGGAAAGAACGATTCACTTTCGCTTCTTCTTTTGGTCATCAGTATGTTCAGGCCGATACTCCCTACTCTTCTTAGTCGAAGAAAATAATAACAAATGCAATTGCTTTAAAGAGGTCTGATCTCAAAATTATCTGCTCTAAATACCATCAGCATCGCCATCTGCATCAACACTTACCCGGTGTGCCTAGCGCTTATCCATATTCGTGGAATATGTAGTTTTCATTTAAGCTCCAAAAGATCTTTCTTGATCGTGATGGAATGGAAGAGGTCTCACGGACTTCTGCCTGAACCCACGAATTGGAAACTGAATGTTTTCGTTCAAACACAGGCGGCCCAAGCGTACTGTGTGTGACTTTGGGGTCTAAAGTTCATTAACGGTAATACCTAACATATTAAAATCGAATTTTAAGCGTAAGC